GATTCGGGGCAGGAGCCGGTGGCTGCCCCTGTCCATGGTGCTGACACAGACCCGGGCAATGGCAGTGCTGAACCACCCGGAGTGTTATTGTCTAAATATTTGGATTTTCCCCTCTTTGTGACCAAACAGTCCGAGACTGGTTTCAGCACAGAAGCTGGAGAACAGTTAGCAACCACCCAAATATGCACAGGGAAATGTACAGCTGTGGAGAGCAGGCTATAAAACATTGTCTCTCATTTTCTTTTTTATAGGAACGGATTTTCCTAACGCTCTCCAACTACATCTTTACAGTTATCTTCCTGACTGAGATGACAGTTAAGGTAAACGTAGCTGGAAGATAAGTGTGCCTGTATTATATTAGTGATATTTTGTTATGGTGGACTTGCAAAACCCCTAGGTCTACCACTACGAGCGAGGTGTATATTTTCCTCTTCTGAATCATATTCAAACACCCACCACATGCCTTATTCTGAGCACGTTTGACATCAGAACAATTTCACTGAAGTTGCTCTTGATTTACACCATTATATGAGCAATGGGATGCTTCAATTCAGCAATCCTTCCCTATTCAGCAAAGCTCTTGAACACATGCTTAACTTCAACCATACATGTAAGTCTCATTGTCTTCAACAACCAATTGTCCTCAACAACCTAAGCAGCTATGTGCTTTCCTGAGGAGGGAGAGACTTAAGCACACTGAAACATTTTGCTGGATTTGAGGCAGGAGGCTCAGAAACCCATTGCTCTAAATCTCTCTTGTGTAATTCATAATCATCTTGCAGAACAATTGCTCTTTCTTTTGAAAGTTTCTGTAGTTTCTTTATTTGCAAAGCTTGTAAATGATTGCTTTGGGTCAGCCACGCTGAACCTTTACTCCAGCAGTCTGTAGGAATAAAATACGATCAAACTTTTTATGTCAGAGCTAAACACATTATGAACAGTTTTGTGCAGCTAGGTTTAGCTGCATTAAAAATATATCAGCTATAAGAGACAATCTGGGATGTTTCTGCAGACGACAATTCTCGTAATACAACACTTTGCTGATTTGTCTAATTAGGCTTCTATACTGGGAAGCAAATGGACTCACAGACTTGTATCTGTAAATAATGCATTCTCAGCAGGTTGCTAACTGGAAGAAACATATTGGATGCGATAGTCATAATTTGTTGCAACTTGGTGTCCGGGCAGGTGGTGGCACTAGGCTTGTGTTTTGGGGAGAAAGCCTACTTGAAAAGCAGCTGGAACGTGCTAGATGGGGTGCTGGTTCTCATCTCTGTCATCGACATCCTGGTCTCGATGGTGTCAGACAGTGGCACGAAAATCCTGGGGATGCTACGGGTTTTGAGACTGCTGAGGACGCTGCGGCCCTTAAGGTAAGCAGAGGACGAGGAAGACCTAAAAGAGTGTAGGGTGTGTGTGCCAAACGGGGAGCTAAGCCTCTCCCGCAAGCAGCAGCATTCGTGCGAGGGAAGGGGCAGGCGAGACAAGGGCACGGCGTCTGTCGCCAGCGTCGTGCCCAGCCTCCTGCTGCTCTGCAGACAATGAGTGTCCGCAGGTCCTGCAGAGCCGTGAGGAGCTCCGGGCGCTCGCTGTGTTTCGGGACCAGCCCCAAGTGCAGTAGTAAACTGATCAATGACTCTTTTGCTCATTAAAACACACATCCCCTGCTATTTGTGTTCTCATTTGCTCTGTGTAAAGTGCAGCTTAACAGCTTCTTCTCCCCCTTTCCTTCAGGCAGTCAATGGCTTTCGTAACAGAGAAGGAAATTAGTAGCAGGTGGCAGATCATTTTTAAGGAAGCAGAGACTAAACTGTTGCTTAACCTAGAATGCAAAGAAGCTTTTTTTCCCTCAGTTCCCCATTAATTTTAGAGACATTTATTTTGAAAATTGCCCAGACACGATGAGAGCAATTGTCCTGCTAACTTGGTCCCCTATCTCTGACAGCAGGCAGTATCCCATGCCCCAGGGGCAGGCACCCCTCTGACAAGAACCTGCCCAAGGACCAGCCTCTTCCAAACAGGCATCTGTTTTGTCCTGTACCCCAAGGCATGAAGGTTTCTCTCCATGCTAAATGCAGTCCCTCTTTAATACCATTCTTGCTGCTCTTGTTACGCAGCAGCTAATAAACCTTCCTGCTCAAAGCATCTTTGTGTGCCTGTCATATCTTACTACTGCTTCCTTCATATAAGGTTCACTTTGAGTCAGGATTTTCTCTTTCAGGACAGAAAAATAGGACCCTGCTTCTGACAGAAGATACTGTTTTACTACCCCTGTGTGAAAAACAAGTCTAAATAACAATGGCCGTGCCTATACGTTTATCTTTCAAATATTCTCAACAGCTATGAAAGTCATTCTGTTACAGTGGGCTATGTGTATGTTGTGCCTGGTGAATTTTGGGATGTAAGCTGCTTTAATCATTTTTATCTGGACAGATAGCGCCATTGGTGTGGTTCAGCTCCCTGACTATATGACTAGACTGTCTTCCTACGTGACTCCAATTCAGACTTTCTTCTCTTCATGTGTCTCCCGGCATCTCCACGTCAACTGTAATTTCTGGAGGCAGTTTCTGCCAGGTTGCTGGTTCAGTAGATCCGCTCTGCTCTTCTGTTTTGGCTGATTTTTGATCCATGTTAAGAAAATCTACAGAATAATCTGAATAGCTCTGGGTAAAAGAAGGATCGATTTCCCGCCTCTGAACTGTGGAATGCAAGTTTCTCTTTTGAGGTGGTGTGGTTGAATCAGATCTAGAGGAAGAGGTTTGAGTTGTGCTGAGCCCTGCTGTCACCTGTCTGACCTAGTAAAAGCCCTGTATGCTTCTTTGTAGATCTAGAGGTCTGCCTGGCCAGGACCTGGGTCTTCATTTACTAGACCTTTTCTCTGCAGTCTGCAGTTATGGGGAACAATCCACTGAGTAACTGCAGGCTGGAGAAAGACCTGCCATCTGGAGCACGTGCAGGATTAGGCTCTTCCATTGCTATTCCATTCCTGTTGGCATTTGATATGTTTTCTCAAGAGAGTGTGTGAATATTTTCAGCCAACATACTGCTTTCTACTACAAAGGAAATGTAAAAAGACAGCAACAAGCCCATTCCCTAAATATGTTCACAATCAGTTCTATTCCCCTGTAATTAGATTTGTAGGAAATGAAAAAGCAGCCATCAAACTGGGGGCTTTTCAGTAAGTCATAAATCTCCACATGTGGAAACCCATCTGCCTCTGCGATGCACATCTGGGCTGCCCTGAGCACGCCTCTGCCCGCAGCTGCCCATTCTGCCTCTGCCATGGGCTGCGCCGTGTGGCTCGGGGATCTGCCTGGGATGTTCAGCTGGATCAACATGGGATGGCAGCTGGGACAGGCCACCTGAGGTCTTTGCGCACCATGGCTCCAGCCCCTATGTCCGGGTGAAGTCCGCAGTGGAGACCGAGCCAGTTTTTCCTTTCCAGGAAAGTGTAGGGCAGAGACCGAAGTGAATGCTCCATCCCCACCACAGAGGAGCTAACCCCGCTCCTTCTGTCCCCCCTTTCCATGGGCATTTGGGGACAGGGCTTCAGGGAGGACACCCTCAGTGAGAAGCCAAGCCATGGCTATGTGTGTCACACTCATCTCGAGGGCAGGGACAGCCCTTGTAGTCTCTGTTGGCTTTCCTGGTTGATGGTCTGAAGGTGTTCTTCTTTCAAAAAACCTCCCTCATTCTGTCTCTTATTTTCTCCTGTGAAAACAACCCCGTTGCTTTACGCAGCACGCAAACCACGCATGCTTGTGCCTCTTGCACAGGCATTAAAAAAACGTGGCCTGTGTGCCAATCATGGCTTTTGATTGCATGATTGATTATCAGCCTCCAAATTAAACCCATGAGGACTTGAGCCCAGCTTTATGACCAGAATTCCAAAAATATATTCACAAAAGAGTGACATTTAAAGATGTTTCCATGACCCTCTGATGTTTTAGCCAGTAGAAGGATTGCTTATACAATAACATTCCTTCCTAATGCGTTCAACCTGCTGTTGTTGGGATCAAGTGTTGTAGCTTAAGATACAAGAGAAATCAAAATTGAAAATGTATTCAGAATTAATGTGGATGGACTTCAGGGCTGTTTTACTCTCTACAGAGCCTGGGCTTTACTTCCAAAGCAGATGGATAAATTATTCACTTTTCATACCATTGCAGTATGAAATAGTCATTTCATAGACTCTCTTCTATCTATCATATTATCACCTTTGCTAATTTTTTTTTAATCCGTGGAGGAAGGTCTTCATTAACGTTGATCTGCTACTTTATCTAAATGCTGCTGCTTCTTCTGAGAGCTCTGATCAGACTAGCAGGCTTAACGTTAGTAAATGTGATCCAGCTGGGGTGAGGCTGGCAGTGGGTTTGGAGTGTCTCACACCAGGGGTTTAACAGCATTGGGAATGCTAAGACCAGTAGAACCAGGAGGAACTCGAGGGATTAACATTTCTTCACACTGGAAAAAAAAAAAAAAAGGTCTCATTTCAATTTCTTCATTTGTCATATGCCTAATGCAGACTGGAATTGTCCTGAATGCACCCTCGGCATGTCTATGGCTCTGGCACACCTGGAGAGCTCCAAATCAGCTGCATCCTTCAGCAATAAATTGCAGGAGTGGTGGGTCAGATAATATGAGTTTACAAGCCTGATATCAGCAGGACCTTGGGCAATATTGATGAGGTCCGGGGATGCTGTATGTTGACATATTGGAGGTGACACTAATAATCTGGAAATGCTGAGAATTTCATTGGCACTTCTTAGAGAGTTATCAGACTCTCAGAAGAGCGGCAAGAGTCTTTGCACGGACTTGCCTCGACATTGGATCAGGCCCTTAGTCTGAGGCACCTCCAAGATCTGAAGATTTTCATTAGTAAGAATTATTTTTCAAAATCTTTTCAAAGTCTCCTCTCCCTGTAGAGCTGGAAACAGCATTAGCATGGAGCTAAACTGGTGGCAGCTTTTACCCTCATGCATTCTCATTTGAGGAATTCCCTGGTTGATCAAAACTCTGAAAGCAGCCAAATGCTGCAGTTTCTCAGCACTTTTTTTCTCAACACACATGACTTCACGAAGTCAGGCGAGTAACCTCCTATTTTCTCTCTCTGCTGGATACCAAATAGTATCTCACAAGGGAAATCACTTTATTATTTCTAGAATAGGCTTTCTTAATAAGTGTTGGAGAAAATTTATCAGTGTTAGACTCTGGAGACTAAATTTCTTCCTTGTTCCCCAAAATTTAAGGATGCTCCAGTAGTTAGATGGACATTGGTTCCATCCTGTGTGACAGTAGGCAGAATACCTAAGTCAGGATCCCTAAAGGCACCGAAGTACCTAATTTCCACTGACATAATTGGAAATGAGGTGCCTGCATACTTCTGAGAAAATGGCTTGCGGTCCTCCCATGCCTCAGTTTCCCTCCCGTATGTAGTTTGGCAGTTGTAGTATTTCGCCCAGGACTGTGTGAGGGTAATATGTGAGGGATGGTGAGGTCTTTAGACCATTTGAGGATCCATAAGAGCAATTCAGCCTTAGGCTGCGTGGCCCAATGCTTGCTTTGTGCACTCAGATGGGGTGGGAAGAGCCCTTGCCTTGTGGATACTGCCCATTAGGCTGGATTAATCAGCTCATGGAGTCGAGCACACTAACCTACTGTCCAGCCTCCTCTGCTAGCTGGCCTCAGCTCAGCTCTCAGCCTCAGCGCAGGTACAACATGGCAGCAGCAGCGCAGCTGCCCCAGCGAGGACCTCAGCCTGGGCTAATTCATGTGGGCAGTTTTGGCAGCCTACACCAACCAGGCTCCACACTGCCATGGCTGCATGGGGCCCACACGGTCTCCTGGGGCATCTCAGCCTTGAGCAGCCTTCTGCTCCCTAAGCCATCTCACCCCCCAGCTCATTCCTTAAAATAACCCAGATCTGAGCATCAGGAGAGCCGAGGTATCTGAATTAGGGAGCCACAGCAGCTCCCTGGAAGAGACACCCAGCGTAAGGAATAGCAGCATCTGCCTTTTGTGTTTCACTGGTAAAGGAGTGGATAAAAATAGCACCATCTGTTTCTTTTTTAAAACGATAATTGATGAGTTACCCTTGACATTTCGAGTAAATATTTAACCAGAAAAAAGGGAAATAATTTTTTTTCAGGATACTGTTTAAAGCCAACAGTTTTTGAAAGACCTGGTACCTGTGCATTGATCTCTGCAGTTTGCTAAACCTGTTGGCTCTGGGGCAGGAGAGGGTTGGTGCAGGCTTGGCTGGGGTCCCAGCTAAGGCCATGCATGTCGGGCATGTGGATGTGTCCATGGGGACCTCTGCTGGGAGCACCATAGCCTGGGATGGGGGAGAGAGGAGGAGAACTTGGATTCTCTCCAGGCAACAGAACTCCAAGCTGTGCTTCAGGTGGTGCAGCCAGACTTGGGGCGAAATGGGAGAGGCGGTGAGAGGACTCCCATGGCAAAAGAGAGAGAACCAGGCAGAAACAAGAAGGTGGGGAATTTTGTGGCACTTTTGAGTGCCAAGTGTTCAAAGGAGTCACCAGCCGGTACCCAGAAGCACACAGGCACTTCCCTCCCTCTGACTTACACAGCAGACAGCTATTTCTGCCTTGGGAAAGCACAGTTTTTATGGCATCAGTGCAAACTGATTTACAGCACTAGTGAAATGCTTAATTCCAGTTGGCATCAAGAGGAGGGAGGCATGCAACCTCTTCAGATGCCTTTCTTGGTCCCCAGCTCTCCACCTTCAGGTCTGTGAGCCTGAATACCTCCTTCATCTTGCCCAGCATGGTGAGATGGCTTCTCCAAAACACACAAGCCTTGGTCTTTCATTGTAGTGTTGTCCTTGAGACTATAGTACAGTTCCTCCTTTTTATTTATCTGCTTCAGTCGTGATGTCCACGTTATTCTTCCCCAACCTTCCCGTATGATCTAATCCTCTGTTATGAAATTCTGTGTGGTACCAGATGGAGAAGAGCTACAGAAATAAGGTTAGATGTCTGTGGTCTTGCTGGTGAAGTTTCACCTGGAGGACACCACTGGTTCAGTAGCTGAGATTGTACGCTGGGTATAAAGCAGAGACTGTGATGGTACTGATGGGTAGCTCAGGTCTCTGTACACAGCAGCACTATAAGGACACGTACAGATTTTTTTTACGATGAGGGTGGTGAAACACTGGCACAGGTTGCCCAGAGAGGTGGTAGATGCCCCATCCATGGAAATATTCAAGGTCAGGCTGGACAAGGCTCTGAGCAACCTGATCTAGTTGAAGATGTCTCTGCTTATTCCTGGGGGGTTGGACTAGATGACCTTAAAGGTCCCTTCCAACCCAAACCATTTTATAGTTCTATGATTCTATCATATCATATCATAATCACTACAGATGTGCAGGTAGCTGTGTAAGAGTAGCTGCTCCATTTCACAGACTGAGACAGGGAAATCAAAAGCGTCGCCTAAAT